GTCAGATAGAGAAATATCCCCTGATTAGAAAGCAGGATAGCCTCAGACTTGTGCACATTCAGTCCATCGGGTGCTGCTTTTTACAAATATAGCACAGGTCATCAATTCTGCATCTAGTTCATCATTCTTAGGGTAACAATGTTAACAAGGCTTTACTTTTCTATTTTAGCACAAAGAGGAATGCTAACAGGTGAAGCATTTTGGTAAGAAGTCAGATTTTTCTCCTTGCTGTAACAATTTGAAAAATTAGAAAACCAGCTACAAGTTACCTAGCAATTTAAGACTAGAAATGGGAAAGTAAAAACCAATATAAAACAAATCTGATATTTCCAATTTGTAATTTTTATTCAAATTTAATTTTGTTGACACCTTCTAGATTTCTTTCAAGCAAGCAACAGCTTTTGCAGCAATACGCCAAGATCCAGAAGTTTTCCTTCTATATAAGATTTACCATGGTTATTTGCCTTTCTAATGGTTAATTCTTTCCTTGAAAAATCTTCTGCACTCTTTGATTGGCCATCCAAACTTGGGAGCAGGTTTCTTATATACTGATGACAGAAGAACATCATACTACAAAATTTTCAGAACCCTGTTACTTCAGCCCAAGGCATGGGTTACTTATTTGACTTTTGTTACATAAGAAGCTTAAGTTGGTTGCATCAATGCCCAGTACAAGTCCATTTCATCTTTTATTCATTTAAAAGAAACAAATGAATCAAACTTAAGTCTCCAAGTGAAAATAAGAAGGGGAAGGGGACACTAACACAATATAAGCTTAAAGAAAAAGAAATAATATAATGATGCAGGGGTGGCCAACCTGTGACAGAAGTGCCCCAAATGGCACAGGGCAGATCACAGAGGTCACAGGCAGCACAGACAGACAGAGCAGGAAGCAGAACAAAATATTGGGGCAGGGATCACAGAACAGAAAGCAAAAAGCAGAGCAGCAGATGAGAGATATGAGATGGGAGTAGTATTCGGGAGGGTGCAGGGCTAAGTTTGTGGCACACCTACCAAAACGGTTGGCCCTCACTGTATTAGTGTGTTCTATGCAACATGTCCCTGTTTAGGATATTTGAGCATTTAAGATACTATAATTTCAGATTCTGCAGGAGGGAGTTCTTGGTGACAGGTTTTTTTTTTTTATGTCAGAAACAAGTGGAGGGGAGGGGGAAAGTAACTGCTGCTCAGAAACCATACACACTCCCTTTCCCTTGCATGCAGAGACCATCTTTCTGATGATTTACAGATTAAGTGGTCTTATTCCAAAGATAGTCAAATCTAGATCTCCATTAATAAGAATATTTTGTTGATTACTCCAGGATCAAGTGGTCCAGCAAAGTGAGGGAGGAGGATCAAAAGGTGGTGGGTAGACTGGCCTTACAAAAAACTTTTTACAAACTATTAATACACTTGGCAATCAACTGACACTTAAAAAATTGCTTGCATGCTGCTTTGAAACTTGGCCAAAAATTAACACCTGCTCCACATGCCAGCCAGAACAGTTTCTTGTAAACTCTTACCCACCAAGATAAGAGGCAAGCAGGCCATCTGCAGGCACTATTACTTGAGACCTTGACTTTCTATACTGGAACTCACCTCTCTCAATCTTTCCAAGACTGCCTATTGCCAGAGCACTTACTATTAACTAAGATACAGGTTTCACACCTCCGCTCCTATAATAGAGGATTAACTATACTGAGGAAGCCATGAGAAAATTACTTATCCCTTGGGACCTGATCATATGTCTTTCCAAGTCCCCTAGAACTCATAAACCTTTTTGGCATTCTACCAGCTCCTTTCAATGAACTAGTTCAAGGTAAAGTACAGGCCTCAAACACCTATAATCTTCATAAAAACTGCACCTGCTCTTCCAGAGCTGTCACCTGTCACAGATCAAGTACTCTCAAGTCTTGCCCAAATCAGAAAGAACTAGTGATTCACAAATCACTGAAGAGCTAGGGAAGTGACAATGCTGGAGTAACAGGACTGGAAGCTAAGCTGAAAGGCAAAATGATTTTTAGGAAAAAAGGCAAGGGGGGGAAACAAAACAAAAACAAAACACAGATAAAGCTCCTTACTGGTTTTGAAGTAAAATAAAAAGAAACAGCCAAGTAAAAAACAAACGAACAAACAAACAAACAAAAGATTTAACTCTCCATAGGCCTGGCTGTCAGGCACAACTGACAGTACCATGGTCTTTAAGACCTTGGGGATAATTTGGACAGTCTATGATTAGGGGTGCACCAATAGAGACTTTTGGGGCTGATACTGATAGCCAGTTTTTAAGGAGGCATATAGGCCAATACTGATCCAGTTTCCAATACAGCATGGACAGCTGCGTGCAGGAGCTGCTCAGCTGGGGCAGGGCAGGGTGCAGGACAGAGCCACGGCTCATCCGGAGGGCGGCTCATGCTGCTGCATACACCCTGGTAGAGAATGGAGGGGGGGCATATGCCCCCTGAATCTGCATGGGGCAGGGCTGCCACTGCAGGCTATGGCTGCACTGGACTCCTCCTAGTGGGGGCTGAGCCAGGCTGTGCTTGGGGGAGGCAGGCTATGGGGGAGCTGTAGCCCCCCACAAGCCCCCCCTTCCAGCTCCTCCACCACAGAGCTCAGGCCAAGCCTGCAGCCCTGCCCTGATCTGCGGGGCAATACGCTTCCCCTCCCCACCTGCCCGGTGCCCTCCCAGAGGGCCTGCAGCAGTGGGAGCCACCCCCCACAACAAGCTGGGGCTCCATCCTGCACCTTGGCCAGGCAGCACCTGCCCCAGCCCCACTCCCTCCCTCACTGTGGGGGGCCTTAATCTGCCCCCCACCACACACTTACTAGCTACAAACAACTCTCCATACTGTTGGGCTGTGCTCCTCACTGCCTACATGCTGTGCTGTGGCTGAATGCTTGCATGAGCCATTTAATCATCCACATTAGGCCAATTTCCGATGTAGCCAATTTTTATTTATTTATTTTTTTTTTGTCAGTGCCAATCTGATATTGGACCAATGTACTGGTGCACCTCTGTGACACCACTATTTAAAACAGCTGACTAAAAGTGTCCTCGATAATAGCAGATAGTGAAGTCAAAGCGTCTCAAAGACCTCCTAACTTCCAGATTAGTGTATATAAATCAGTTAAAAAAATGACAGAGCTCCTACTCTCTCAATTTTTGAAGTAAAATAAGAAGCCAAAACATTCAACTACTTTTGAACTACTGTATGTTTTTTCTTCAGTTTCACTAACAGTGAAGCAAACAAAACACAAACCCTGCTATTAGTAATTATTACCACAAATTAATGAAGTCTACAGTTCTTAAAGACTGCCCGCCCGTGAACTCTGCAGCCTGGATGAGTGATGGACCAGCACCACAGTATATCTAGAAATAAAAATCAGAACAACAGTGGGTCAAGGTTTAGACTTACTCATACCCCTATAAAAAACAAAACAAAAAAACCAACCCCCCCACACACAAGTGACTGCCTTCTTAATGAGCATTTCATAAATATTTCATTCTGCTGCATTAATAAATTTGTATTACACATACCTAGAGGCCTCATCGTGCTGAATAGTGTACAAGTGCACAGTAAAAGTGTCTCCAGCCCAGAGTACTCACAACTATAGTTTAGTTTAAAGAACAGACAAAGGGTAGGATTGAAAACAGAAGCACGGAGACATGAAGTAATTTGCTCAGGCCACACAACAGTTCATTGGCAGAGCGAGAGAGAACCCAGGACAGTATCCTAACTACTGATGCAAACTGCATTTGAAGGCTTTAAATAAGTAAAGTATTTTAACAAATAGTAAAATCAATACAATAGAAGCTTTAAAATAAAGTTATGGTTCCCCACCTTCCAGAAGTGATCCCTAGCCTAGAAAAATTAAGTTTATAGTTTAGAAAAGACAAAATGCAAATAATTATGACCATATCCTCAATTATGTCCCTCAATCCCTAGCGTACAAGAGGGCAACTGTGGTTAAATGTACTGGCTAGAGTCAGTGAGAGCTGGAAGAAAGTAGTAAAATATATCCGATCTAGTTCAAAGATAACACCAGAAAAGAGGGCCTGCTGGTAAGCCTAGAAATATAGTAAGAGCTGCCAATTTGCCTATGAAAGGCATTTCCAAAAACCAGGCAAGCCCCCTTTTTTTTTTATATTTTATATACACACACGGCAAACACCAATGATGAAAGAGATGCAAAGATAAATAACCTCAGACAATCAAGTGTTGGAAAGAGGTCTCTGAACATTGCTATTCATATATTTCTGATTAGGTGGCACGTGAGCATTATATTTGTTTTTATTTGGTACATTTCCCTACTGTCCATCCGGGTGATCAGTTTCATGCAGTGGCACGGGGCACGAATGTCACCCAGCTTCTGGGCTGATGCACAAGAAAAAGAGAATAGAGAGTTCTTTGCTCTTCTACCACCAGTGAGAGATAATTTGTCATCTCTGATACTCCCGTATATAAAATGGTACAGCAAAGAAAGTAACCTCCTTGATGCTTAAAAGTTTTGTTTTGGAAGCAGGACAAATCAGAACTTCCTAGATCTTAAATGCTGGAAGTGGGAAACGAACAGGAGAATAACCCTAGTCATACCCCATCCCCTCTCCCTTTCAGCATCCACACTGACACTGTGCAACAGGATAATGGACAAGATGGACTTGTGGTCTGATGTAGTACAGGGACATAAAGAGCTTCCTTTTACTGCAAAACCAGCAGCAATGCAAAAACTTAAAATATCAGAGAAGCAAGGGTTTTTATAGTTAATATCTAGCAAACCAACTATATAGCTGGGAGAGATACAGCCAAGCTTTCTGATGTGAAGTGGCCTTCCTTGGGGCTCTTGGGGGGGGGGGGGGGGGGG